AAGCCGGATTTACATTTTCAAAAGTGGGATTTGGTAGATGCTTTATTTGGGTTGTGACACAGTTGTCAAGTACTAACAGTCCACCTCAGTGTGGTTGCAAAGCCTTGAAAAGGCTTAAGGAATTTGGCAGTAGATTCTGGTATGCAGAGCATCCACTGTTCTGTGATACATACAGTAAGTGTTCATTTAGAATTAAAATCCCACCGACGTTGCTGCAGTCCATTAATAAGGCACGGATTTTGTTTTAATTCGTTGCTTTTTATAATGAGTGGGAAAAACTAAACAGCCGAACTGAAAGAACAGATTTGTGAAACCAGTTGAATCCATCATAGATATTGTCTAATGTACCTTACGGGTGATGGAGGTAAGCTGGGGGGATTCCTGACAGGAGGCTCCATCAAGGGAGTGTGGCCCTTTAAGGACAGCTGATAGGGCAGCAACTGGGAATGTGTGCTTGGAGATTGTCATGCTCTTTAGTGTGGTTCAGTCCCTTCACAGTGAACCTACATTACCTCAGTTTAGGACAGACAGGCCATTGTTCTTTTCTCCCCTGTGCCTCAGACTCCCCTCATTCTGCTTGATCAGGTTACCTACAGGTGAGTGATGTTTTTTGATACCATAGGCTTAGTAAAGGAGAAGTCTTATAAGGAGATGCTTTGCATTGGATACAAAGCCTAACAGTGTTCCTCTTTATAAAGGTTGAAATAAACTTTTTAAGTCACATCCATCAATACATGTTTGTATCCTGTCATTCTGAGATCAAAAGGTGGCTAAGTGCAGTGGCCAAACACATTAAGTTAAAGCTCTGATATAAAAAAAGGATACAGTTGTATAATTGTGTTTTAATTTATTCAGCACCCATTAAGCATGTGATTTTAGCATTCTGTAGTGATGATACTATTTGTTATCAGAGTTTACCCAACAAACGTGCACGGATCTTGAAAGCCCTTTTGGAACAGTTTTGGCAGTTGCCCTGATGTCTGTGGAGCCTAGCTGGAGAATCCCAGGAGCAATCCTATAGCAGCAGAAACAGAACAGTGCAAACCTGGCTGCAGCTTGAGCATGAGCTGTTTGTGTTGTACCCTTTCACATTAAGTGTGTGCTGAGAAAGACCAGAGTTAAAACAGTTGTGTCTCTTCAGGAGTATTCCTGGTATTCTGTTACCAGAATCATTTTGTTTTTGAAATGTAAAAAATAGGCTTGATTTTTTCAAAGAAAATTACAAACAGCTCTGTTTCGGGCAGAATGACGGCCTTTGCTGCACCTTGTACGAGGGGCTAGTTTGATCGCGGGGGGGGGGTTGTTCCTGTAAGGCTGACACTGTGAGGAAGGAAAGATGCCTAGGCTTTGCGAACAGAGCCTGGCCTACAGCCGTCAGCAGAGTTCTGGCTTTGAGGGGGATGTGAATCTGTTTGCTGCATAATGCAGTTAAAGATCAGTGGATGTGATCTGTGATTCTGCATGCTTTATGAATGAGTACCTACTGGATTTATAATCTGTAGTCTGTAATGATTAGTTGCTTGAATTGCATAAAGACATTTCATTGCCAGCAACTACTGCTGCACGCTGTACTGCTGGGGATGTGCAGCTGTGGTGAACAGCCTCCGTGCTTTTCAGCCGAGCAACTCGGCAGAGGGATTCACAGCGTCGTGGCACAGGGCGGGGAATATCTGGTAATGTTTGTGAATTATTCCAGTATTTAAAGGCCATCAGTGCTGCGCTCTAGAATGTTGTCATGCCTAGTCTGTCTAATCAATTTTTCACCTGAGCCTTTAGCAAATTGTTATATGCTCATCACTTATTAATTAAATCCTGAAGCCTGTACAGAGTACCCTGTTATCAATGCCAGAAGACTAACATTACAATTCAGGATTACATATTTAGAAAAGTCTTACGTTCTTACGTTACCTACAAGGGGGTACTGTAACTGTAACTATATAACTATATAACATCCTGTAACTGACATGTATCTGTGGATTTAAAACTACAGTTCAATTATTAGTAGAATAATAAGTACATTGGGTAAATTTATGTGTTTATTATTAAAGGAATCTACAGTGTTTTTTACATAAGCCCTCCTACTCTTAGGACATCTGAACAATGCAGCAGGTGTGCTTTTGAGTGACTTTCGGCTATTGTCTCCAGCCTACAGATTTCTTCAGTGCTGCAGGCTGTACTTTACATGATGGGTGTGTCTTAGGCTCTCTGATTACCCGTTTCCCCCATGTCCTATTGTAAGGACTGTACAGCTGGCCAACCTAGGCCCATTCTTTGTCCTTGCATCAATTGACCCATAAAATACGATTCTCTTCATTAGTTCTTTGATCTGAGAACAAACACATCCATTAAGCTGAACCCTGTTTAAGATTCAATCACAACCAAACATTTGACTCCTGTATGACTGTACACACATTTTACATTTATAAAGAACTGGTTTATCCTTCCCTTTCTGTTTTTCCTCAAGCCAAAGCAAACAGATCAGAATAACACTACTCTGATGCTTGCAACATACAGAGGACATATCCATGTAATTCCACTGAATGACTTCAGTTCATTTTCTCTATAGTTCAACATAAGCTGACAATATGTGTAGTACATCTGTTCAAGAAGATCCAGCGTTGGCTAACACTAAACCATATTTTGTTATTTAGATATCATGGCTTATTCAGAATTTGGACTTGATTACAAATCGCTTTCAAGCCATGCCTGTCCTTCTCCAGGTATAGACACCAGTGTCGTCGCCGCTGTCCTCAGAAGACCTACGAGGATACTGGGAGAAGTATGTGCTTCAGCTGCCCTGTCCCCTGCACTGACTGCATGAGTGAAACCCTCTGTCTGTCCTGCCAGGCTGGTCATTTCCTATCTGGTGAGATCATTACCTTGTAGCCATCTGTACTAGCTCATGGTGCAATGAAGCCAAGTGGGAAAACTTCTGTGTCGTACCCGCTGTCGGCTTATGTGACTCTCATCACATGCACAAAAGACACAGCATTTCTAGGTTTTCATCATCGGAAAGGATGTAAATGCCTCAGACAAAGTTTTAAGACCAAAATGGGCGTATTCCAGAGCCGAAAGGCCTGGATTAGCGTGAAAGAATTAAAGATCTTTATCTTGGTATTCTTTGAAGAGTGCAAATTAAGCCGAGTCCTGTAAAATTTCATAAGTATGAAACAAGAGCAGTAATCAGTTGAAAAAATGTATCAAGCTAAGTCAGAGAAACTGCTCCACTGAGATCTTTCAATAATCTGTTAGTATGGTGCAATAGATTTGTCTGGACCACGATAATTAGGCCTCTCTGCCCAAAGCCACTTACATTGTCAAGGTGGGAAGCTGTATACTGTACCTGCTGCTGCTTAGCTACTTATAACAGGAGTGGGGTCTGAACGACAGGTTCAGTACCTCACTTGGGGTAGGTAACATATAATAAACCAGCAGCTGAGCTGGGGCCTGAAATAGGGATGTCCAGTCCCTTTTTGTCCCTTGTTTTGCTCTGAATAATATAAAAAGTCTCTAAGTGATTTACACAGCAGTACATCTGTTTAACACTCGGTATTGCCTGGCGAGAAAGCCTCACCGTAGCACCACAAGATGCCTATGTGTCTCCTGTAAGACGGCAAGAACGTCACCATCAGCCATAATATCCTGCAAGGGTCCTTCACTGGAGTTCTTCATTGATTATGTTTTACAGGGGTGTTGAAATGGAAAGCTTCTCTTAGAGTGTTAGATGGAGCTCTAACAGATCTTTAAATGAACATTTTACCTGACTGGAACAGAAATACCCACTTATTCCATTTTGCAATACCTTTTCATTTGGATAGCAAATCAGTGTTTTAGAAGCATCATGAAACTATAGGTTATGCAAAGAGGAAAAATGCAAATAATGGCTGTGGTGTTTGTAGGACTCCTAAGAGCCTGTTTGCATGTACCTATAACATGATTTTATGTATTTAAAAAAGGAAATGAAGTTATCTTATTGGGAATCTACTATAAAGATGTTTAAATTGCGTTCTGCATGTTTTCTTTTTCACAAGGAAACATTTTGTGACCAGTCGTTTCTCAAAAGTTGGAGTATATGTTTTACTGCACTCAAAACCAACAAGGGCCACACTTTCCACTGGCAATATCTGGATTTAATTTCCCATAGGATATTTGATCATTTATAGGTTTTTTTCTACATTGGACACTACTTCCCCCACACAAGAAAATAATGGTTAGAGATAAGAGGATGTTACACTCTTGAGCTGCCATAATACATATATCCATAAAGAAGAATCTCTAAACCATTAATAATCCCTTTGTTTCATGTATGGTTGCCAATCTTCAACTAGAATCACAAGCTAATTAAGAAGAAAACTTTGATTATCTAGGAAGGAACTGTCAAGCATTTTTTGTGTACACTTAATCATAACAAGAGTAAACATTTGAAAAGGAAAAAACAGTCAGCAAATTTAAAAATCTACATCTTACATGCATTTTTTGTTAACAGATAGAGGTATCTGTTAATTTCTGAGAGGGCAGTGATTTTTCCAGTTTACTGGTTTGAGAAACCTCCTCCTCTCTTTCACTCTCAGACAAGCTCTTAAAAGCAAGTCCTTGTTTGAGATCCAGTTCCAAATGATTTGGGTCACAATTTCATGGCTGAGTTGCTGTAAGGAATGCGAAAAGAAACTGCCTTGCTTACACCAACTGCAAGGACATCACAGAAACAATCTAATATACACAGGCTGCCTTTCAGACCTCCACGTAATTTGCTTGAAGCAAATGTTTCATCCCTGTTTCTTACATTGAGAGTTTTGATTTTTTTTTTGAGTTGCAAGATGTACATTGAAAAACTGACCAGAACCACACATTTCCTTTTTATTCATATTGAGGACCTGTTTAGGTTTTCTCCGTTAAGGCCTCGATTTGCGGTAGTGGCACAGAAGAATGATTCTAATGTGTGGTGTGAGTTCAGGCATTGAAAACAAAAATAAAAAAATAAAAATGATCAAAATCAATGTCGAAAGGTATCCCAGCTTCTGCAAAAAAATGAACCACATAGCTAACCAATTAAGCAAGACCTACTTCCTTATCTAAATTCTGTCATTAAATATTCATTAAATATCTCAGGCATGGTCAGGGTAGTGATATTGTATAATTGTCATAGAAAATAACTTTGCTATTTGGTTACATAAAGCCAAAAAAGTGTATGAGAATAACCAAGTACATGATAGGACAGAAAAATTATATTTTTCAAAGTAACCTGGTATAAATCTGTCTGAGCAGGATGATGGTAGCACCAACACAGAACTGAATATTGTGAAGTTTTGTAACAGCTGGCGGCTATCGTCATCCGCATCTACTTCTTGTATGGCAAGAACCTTTCATATACAAGCTAGCTGTTCAGCAGTCGGAGGTCAGGAGTATCCAGCACAGCTGTGTGAGGTGACTCATCTCATAGGTTTCATGATTTATTTCTGAGAGA